GTTCTCACTCAGTATTTTAAAAACATATTCAATGTCATGTAGATGCTGTGCTCTATCGGGGCTCTAGATCATTATGTCGTCTAAGTGATCACGCACTTGTTTAAAAGTGGGCGAAACGCCTCGTTCATGGTCATTTGGAAGGTGGTGGGGGCGTTGGTCAGTCCGAAAGGCATCACGGTGTATTCGAATGATCCGTAGTATGTGCGGAAGGTGGTTTTCGGGCAGTCAGGTGGGTTGACGTGAATCTGATGGTAACCCCCTCGAAGGTCAATTTCTGAGAAGACGCGAACTGTGCAAAGTTGGTCGATGCGTTCGTCGACTCGCGGGATGGGGTAACCTGACTTGATTGTAACCCTGTTCAGTGCGCGGTAGTCTATGCACATGCGAAATCCCCCGTCGTTTTTCGGTGTGAACAGTATCGGTGCTGCGAAGGGTGACGAACTTGGGCGAATAAACTTCTTCTCGAGCAGGTATTCCAGCTGCTTCCGCAGTTCGTCCAATTCGGGTTGGGTCAGTCGGAACTGTCGCTGTACCGTCGGCTGCGCCCCCAGTTCAAATTCTATATGGTGGTTGTGCGGTCGCTGATGTGGCAGTCCCTCTGGCGTCATTAGCAGCACCATGCCGCGCTGGCGCGTAGCCTGCTGCTGGTTGTCGCGCGACTGCTCCTGGGCGTGAATGCAACAATATTGCTCACCCGGTAGCTGACGCGCGACATTGCTGCAGTTGCGCGTGACTGCAAGAGCTGACGCGCAGCTGTACGGGAGACTACATCAGCTACTGCGCGACTTCTGCTGTTGCATCCTTTAGTGCGTGCTTGCTGCATCATCTGCGCCTAATGCACAACTGCAGCAACACGATGCATCACTCCAGCAACATGGCGTATCGCTACACAACATCGCACGCTATTTTCTTCACCTAAGCTTTCATATCAGTGCGCAACAGCGGCAGTAACTGGTGCGGTGGCTGCAGCATGAACGACTGTCAGCAGCATCCCCTGGCTACGGCAGCAGCAGCTGCAGGCACTCATTTGCAGCAACGGCGGCTAGCTATCATCTGGAAAAATCTCGCCATACTGCTTCAGTAACGCTGCCAAGTCATCCGGTACGTTGGCGAGCAGTTCCTGTAAGTCGCTCGGTTTGTCTGCAGCCTCGACTTCTGGACCTCAACCGCGTACACGTCAGCTCCTGCCGCTGCGGCGCGTTTCATCGTGATGGCGTTGACTTGGACTGACGTAGACACAGGGGAGCTTCAGTGGCCCGTCGTCCAGTCTATTCGCGGATTGTGTCATCAAACGATGTTGTTACAGTTGACTCGCACCGTGCAGTCGCACGTCGTCCAGTCTATTCGCGAGTTGTGTCGTCGCAACAAATCATGGCCTATTAAAATGCCGGTTTCGTCGAGGTTAGTTTTGAATTTGGCCTTTTACATGGACATTTTGACCAAAAAAATACCGTAACCTCCCGGATAGCAGACATGTACCGTATGGCCCCGGATATAAGTGCAGGCCTATGTTAAGCACATGCACTTCTATCTGAAGCGATCCGCTTATGGTCGATCCTCATTTATAAGCGCACCCCTTTTGCAACCCGTAGTTATTATAAGCGCACCCGTTAGATTACATTTCTTTTTTTTTTTTTTTTTTTTAATTAGGGACAAGGAACTAAAGCCCTTATAGGGCTACAAATTCTACAATACTATATTTTCATTAAGCTTCACAAAGCTTACAAGATTTTTCTCTAGTGTCCTGCATGAAAAGCCTTAACAAGGCATTTCTACCTAAGACTTTCACCTCTACCTAGCCTAGCCTAGGGGAGGTCGTCCTCCTCGTCGTACTCGGGCTCCACGCAGTTGTTGTCCAGAAGCCATCGGCGGCAATCTCGTCGTATACGTCCACTTCCTGGGTCAGCTGGCTCCTACTGTGCGCCATGGCAAGCTTGTCCTCGCTCCCGTCAAGCGCGTTGCTGATGCCGCATGTGAGGAAGGCCTTCTTGATGAGGTCGGCGGGCACTGCCTTCCAGGCCCGGGAAATCCACCCGAGGACCACCTCAGGTGGGGGCTTCCTGATGATTTTCGCACCACACGAAAGCGACGGGGGAAGCAGTTAGAACACTAGAGGGGGGGAAACAGCACACCCGCGCAAGTATAGAACCCGAGTTTATCTCACCTGCGTCTGTCAGCATGTCGATGCCATCCTGCTCGAACCAGTTTTGGTACTGCTGGCGCACGCTGGCCTTGAAGGACTTGTTGACCAACACGTCCACCCCCCCGGGATGACCGCCGGGACGATGTTGAGTTCGCCGAACCTGTCCTTCACCTCGTTCAAGTGACCTCGGTAGGAGTCGAGCACCAGCATCGCACTCATCGTGTGCACTCCGAACCGGGGCCGGATGAAGGGCTTGATGCACTCGTCGAGCCACCGCGTGACGCCCGCGACGTCCATCCATCCATTCTCGTGAACCTCCACAACGACATCTGCGCACAAACACCGGCGGTTGTTCGTATTAAATTATAGAAAAAACAGACATCATTCAACACTAAACGCAAAACACAGCTTACCGTTTAGGAAATCACCCTTCGGCTGGGTCTTGCGCTTACAAAACACCCACTGCTTCAGCTTCTCCCCCGTTGCCATGCACGCAAGCTCCTTCTAATAACCACCACCCTTGATGGGCACCGACTTCACGCCCGCTTGCTCCACGGTGGTAGTCGCCGGCATCTCAAGCCATAGCGATGTCTGGTCGGCGTTGATGATGAAGCGGTTGTCGATGTCGTATTCACGCCGCCGGTCACGTACGTAGTGCTAGAAGCCCTTGCACTTGCCCGCAACATCTGCGCATGGGGAGGGAAGGATGTAGAGTAGAAAGGGTTAGTAAAATAAATAGGAAATTCATAGTAATAACAAAGAGAGCTAGCACCGGGATAAAGGGGATTCGACGGAAGCAAAGACATGACGGCACTTACGGTCTCCACTTTTCTGGGCCACCATTGTTTTCATGCGCACACTGAGATTCCACCGCTAGCGGAAGCGATCCGACCATTGCTGGCTTCCTTTCCACTTCACGTCCGGGAAGAGAACCTTTAAGAAGACCCGCGACCATTCATGCAGCCGACCGACAGACACGGCGATTCCCTTACGCCGCCAGTCGACGAGCATCGCGTACACCTTCATCTCCATCGCCACGAAGCCCTGCCGCGGCCGTGCAGTCGCTTCCATTCGCCGTGCGAGTCCTTGAGGAGCTGCGCTCGGTTCTTCCACTCTGTCAAACACTTGTGATGGATCCCCGACTCACGCGCCACCTCGCTCACCGATGACGCAAGCTTCAGGCGCACGAGCCACTTCAGCTTTTCTTGGGCGGTATACGACTGATGCTTATGCTGCGTCGGCTTGTGCCTGGAGAGAGGGGGCGGGCATCACGGTTCTTAGAAGAAGGGTGGGAACGATTTTTGTTAGTTGGCAGATAAGACGGAATCGGCAACTTCTCAGGAAGGCCATCGCGCGACCAGTGTTCGAGGCCGTCGTCGCCATCGGCGCCCACACCACCCTCGGGAAACACATCAGCCTCGGTGCCAGCCTGGGCGCCCATTTCGCCCTTGGCGCCCGTTTCACCCTCGCCGCGGTGGTCGTCGTCGGCGACCACATCGTCATCGGCGCCCACGGCAGACTCGTCCCACGTGCAATCTTCAGGCTCGCCCCAACTTGGTGCCGGCGGCGGAGCTGCGATGTACTCATCAGCGGGCTTGTTTGCTTCCGGTTCACTAAGCCACTCATCGAACGCCGCTGGGAGCAGGAGCTGGAGCACGGGCCGATTGCCTGTGTATGCAGGGGCAGGCGGATTTGGAGGAGCAGGATTAGCGGGAGGCGACAGAGGAGCAGGAGGAGCAGGGGGTGCAGGTGGCGCAGGAGGCTGTGGTGGCACAGGAGGCTCTGGAGGCACACGTCTATACCAGCCGTCGTCGGTAAGTCGCCAGGCGCATCTAGGCTTTTTCTTGAAAAGAAAGGCTTTTCTGCCATGGCTTCCGCAGCCAGGCGGGCTAGAGAGAACAACTGGAGGAAAAGGTGAAAGAGAGGGTACAGAAATGGGCAACGGACGGGACCCCGTCGGGTTGGCGGCTCGGGGCCCTCGTCAATGAATGACGGGGAAACGCCCGCCTGAACCCGCAAAGGAGGGTTTGTGGCACCCTAAACGCTACGCTGGCAGGGAATATTCCACCCCCATCTAGTTGGTTCGGCTGGAATGCACCTGCTTGGCAGCGCATGCCGCTGTGATTGGGCCGCACTGCAGTTTTTGAGTCAGCGCTGGCAGGTGCGATGCTTCTGGACTCAAATGTGCGGTCGGAAATTGAGTTGCGCCTGTTTTCCCCTGGTTTTCATGCATGATCCCACGCGAACGTTGTTCGCGCGTGTTCTAAAAAACCCTATTTTTTTATAAGCGCACCTGCGCTTATATCCGGGGTGATACGGTATGTCTTATCTCATACACTCGAAATAAAAGTTAACGCTATCTTGTAAAGGGAAGGTTACGGGTGTCTTATAAATAGAAACGTTAAGTATATTTTCCCACTTATGTAGAAATGTGTTTTTAATAATGAGTGTGGATGTTCCAAGGGTTCCTACTTCGGCAATTATTGTTTGGGATGCCACGCCATGAAGAATGGCTGATGATGTCAACTTTCAAATTTCAGAGTCGTCATGTGGAAGAACTTGCGTTTTGCACAGGTAAAAACGTATGCGCTGTTTCATTTTTCAACATAGTACATTACAGTTTCGATTATAAGACATACGTCTTGTCATATACATGTAAAAGGTGTCTTATACAAGGAACTCCTCTTTATAAGAATACACCCCAATAGAAGACAACTGTGTCTTCAATCCAACACTATCTTATATCCGGTCGCTTGCGGTAATGTGATCCTAACATCAGGATTCATGCTACAAAAGTTTTGCAAAAGCATTTGAAAGGCTGTAAAATAGTCAGTAAAGAATCAGCCATTATAACCCATCACCACTCCTCGACATTGTTAGCAACGAACCCGGCGGTCAGGCGGCCATTGGTGGAGCGGAGCTCGTTCATGAGGCGGCTCCAGTTGGAGCCGAGGCTGCCTTCAAAGTAATCGCACTGCGCGGCGATCAGCACACTCACTAAGCTCAGCGCCACGGATTGATCGTGCTCGTATTGCCGCAGAGTACCCGCCTTGTCCTGCTGCCGTGCGTTTGACGAGTAGAAGAAAGTCCATGAGGTGTGCTCTGCCGATCGGTCTATGTTGGCCTGTGTGTGTGGTGCACAGACGACATGCAGGGCGGGAGAAAGGAGCAGATTGTTGACTAGGGCTAGCGAAGGGACCCCATCAGTGGACACAGACAAAGGAGAAAAAAACTGGAACACCGAAGGGAGCGAAACGATGGAACGGAAGCTCAGCCGGAAATAGTTGCAATGTAGAATACATGTTGCTGCCGTTTAGCTGACCTGCGTTTCAGTGTTGAGCCAAACATGCCGGAGGTCAGGGGCACGTGAGCGGAGGCGATTCATGTGGAAGATATGCGAGTCCAGGGAGCTCAGCCCCATCTCTGAATACTTGTCCGTACCCCTTACATGCAGACTCACTATAGGCCGCGGCATGTACGGCTCCTGCACTCCCATCAAGTTGTTGCCATCCTTGCCTTTATCCCCGCTGCCCCCTGTGGCAGCAGCAGCAGCAGCAGCAGGGCTGTCTAATTGGAAGAACGTGGAGGAATAAGGAGCTTCCAGTCGCTCCAATGCTTCTCGCGTCCGTGATTCCCAGTCACTTGCATTCACTTTGCCGTTGCTAGCGGCGGAACCAGCATCAGCGGCGGCGGCGGAGGTGCTGCGAGAGAGGAAGGAGAGGGCTTTTGCCTGGGTCTGCAGGAACTGCGCGACGTGATTGGCTGCGATCACGCCAAATGTTCGGTGCCTCTCCCTGTTGGACACGTGGCAGAGGTAGGTGGAGGGCCAGCGCAGCAGGAAGCGCACTGCCTGCGCCCGCCACCATTGAACCTGGGGGCATGGGGGGTGGAAGAAGTGGGGGGGGGGTAGTATAGCGGGGAATCATGTGAAGAAATAGGTCTGAAACGCACTGCTTGTGCCCGTCACCAGTGCACCTGGGGTATGGGGGGTGGAAGAAGCGAAGGGGGAGAAGTATAGGAGGACGCCTCGGGGCAGGAAATGGAGGGGGAAGGGGAGAGGACAGAGAGGAAGGCATGAGAACACGTGAAGCATTAAGCGCACTGTGTATGACCCAACCACCAGTGCACATGGCAAGAACAAGAGGCACAATAGGCTTCATTGAAAGAGCATTGAACCGCACTACCTGCCTGCCCCCGCCACCAGTGCATTCCCTGGAGCCGGGGTGTTTGGGAAAGCGAGGAGAGAAGCGGGGTGGAAATCGGAGACGCGATGCCAGATTGCAGTGACTGGAAAAAGGAGGGGGTTGAGGGGTGGAGTGAGGTCACTTGGATGGAGTTGAGTGGAGGAAGGTCAGAGTGGGGGGGTCAAGGGGGGAGAGAGAGTGGAGCAAGAGGGGGGGACAGATTTGCAGAGTCTTGTGAAGTAAAAACAGGGGAGAAGGAGAGGGGACGCATCTCTCCAGGCAATTTATTGTGAAAGGGAAAAGAGGGTCTGACATGCCTTCCTGGGAGGTTCATTCTCAGTCTTTGCTGTCATGCCGTTAAGCCCTGCCTTTACCATGACTGGATTGCAATGCGATTGGGTTGGGTCAGCGGGAATTTAGTCAGATGCCAGCAGCCCGCATTACGACAATGTCAGTTCTGTCCAGTGGAATCATTTTGAAGTTTGCTTACCTTGCGCAGGTGTTCAGTCAGATTCGTTAGTTTGCCGTCCATCTGCACGGTGCAGGGCGCCTTATAAAGGGCATCACCCCACAACCTGACGGGGGGAGGGGGAGGAGGAGGGGGAGGTAGGGGGGGGAGGGGGATTGGGGTCAAGAGAGAGGAAGGAGGCGGGAAGGATGCGGAGGCAGTCAGCTTGGCGCGCTGCAGATGGAATTGATTCCTTTCGTATCTGCAGAGTGCAGGGCGAACTAAAAAACGCATGAGATTGTTCTGGGGCTTCTCTCAAAGGCTGATGGGGGAAATGGGATGGGCGTGAGGCAGTCAGAGAGGATGGTCTGAAGCGTGGTGAGACTGGCTCTCGATAGAACATTCACTAGAGAGGATTCAGAAACAGAACCAGTTTAAAACATGGGCACATGCGTGTGTGTGTGTGTGTGTGTGTGTGTGTGTGTGTGTGTGTGTGTGTGTGTGTGTGTGCGTGTGTGTGTGTGTGTGTGTATGTGTGTGTGTGTGTATGTGTGTGTGTGTGTGCGTGCGTGCGTGCGTGCGTGCGTGCGTGCGTGCCTGTGTGTGTGTGTGTGTGTGTGTGTGTGTGTGTGTGTGTGTGTGTGTGTGTGTGTGTGTGTGTGTGTGTGTGTGCGCGTGCGCGCGCGTGCGTGCACATGTCGGTGTTTGTGTGAGTGTGCAAGCAATCTACACTTGACACGCACGTTGCAGCACCAGCTTCCATGGCGAGCTTCGAAGGGTTGGGATAGCTAACAAACACAATCGTATCGTTCCGCGCGGCCACTTCAGAAAAGTCGTTGCCCCCACGCGGAATCTTGTCACGGCTTTTCTGTACAGCCTGTTGGTAGACTTGCTGGCAGGCTGGCGAGACCATGGGGAAAAAGAAGCACTCCCATTGGCTCTTGTGGCCCACGGCTGCAGTAGTGGGCATGGGATACAGCAGGGAGAACGGGACGGGAAGGGGGAAGGTGGAGGAAGTGAGGGGATTGGGGTGGAGAAGGGGGGGAATGGGCTTGGGGTGGGGGAATGAGAGCGGTGGTAAGTTTGGCGATGGGAACAAGGAACAAGGGAAGGAGGCGCAATCGCAGAGCTGTTGCTGTGCACATTTCAAAGGAAAGTGGAGAGGAGAGGTGTTGGCTGGGACAAAGATGAGATGATCAGGGGTAGAGGACGGGAGGTGACAGGTGAAAGAGGCAAGGAGGCGGGAGGCGACAGTGGAGATTCAAACAGTACAGAAGCAAACTGGCACTGGTGTCTTGAAGATTTGTTTTCACGTGAGATGCTGCTTCGGACTGAGAAATAATGGGTTAAGGGCCAGTATTTAGTATGAGGTGCTGAGCCTTGCACACATAACGGCAAACAGTCACTGCTCTGCAAGGCTTGAAATCTTGCTGCGTTGATGTCTGCGCTTGTGTGCTGCCATGACATGCCACAACATACCCCATGCAATGTCGCGGTCAGCTCTGTTAGTGGAAACAGCTGCCCTGAGAGATTGTACTAGGTGTGTTGTTTTTGCTTTAGATGTACAAAGGACCATGCACCACGCCATGCACCACGCCATGCACCACGCCATGCACCACGCCATGCACCACGCCATGCACCACGCCATGCACCATGCCATGCACCACGCCATGCACCACGCCATGCACCACGCCATGCACCATGCCATGCACCATGCCACGCATCATGCCACGCACCATGCCATGCACCATGCCATGCACCATGCCATGCACCATGCCACGCATCATGCCACGCACCATGCCATGCACCATGCCATGCACCATGCCACGCACCATGCCACGCACCATGCCATGCACCATGCCATGCACCATGCCACGCACCATGCCATGCACCATGCCATGCACACCATGCCATGCACCCACCTTCACAGGCGGGGGTGCCGGCGCGGTCGAAGGCATCGGGTTCATCCACGAGGGTGCGGTTGTTGCGCATGGCTAGACTCAGCATCGCACTCATGTAGTGGATCTGGTGGGGTGGGAGTGGCAGGTGCATGGCGTAGGGTGCAGGGTGTAGAGAGTAGGGTGCAGGGTGTAGAGAGTAGGGTGCAGGGTGTAGAGAGTAGGGTGTAGGGTGTAGAGAGTAGGGTGTAAGATGCATGATGCACGGTGCTGAACACGGTCTGCAGTGCGCTCATGCACAGAACATGGCAAGCCAAGCACATGCACACTCACAATCACAAGAAGGGTGCGACCACAGCACAAGGCAACAAGAGAACCACCCACCTGCGAACCAACGCCGTGCGCAGCGGATTTCGCCCAGTTGGCAACCAGGAGGCGCCTGTTGGTGCAATCCCCAGCGGGGAACTGGTTCCGCCAGATGTCCCTCTGCACGACACGTGTCAGCGGCAGATTGGCTGCATCCTGCCCTCGGATCTGGACGGCAAAGAGGTTGGGAGATGGTGGAGCGAGACCATTCGAGACTATGGATATCCCATCATGGTCATTAACGAAATGATTCAATCAATCAATGGATTAATCAAATTCCTGGCATGTTGACATTGTTATCCTGTGAAGCAACCTTAGCATTCCCTCGACATTAACTTGACAGTGACTCACTGGCATCTCCATGCACGCACGCTCGCACATGATGGCCGAATCCCGGCCGTTCTAAGTAAGCATTGACGGGTCGCTTCGAAGCTGCCCCGTCACGTGACGGGCTGGCTCTGGCTGGGGGGGCGTTACACTGGGACAGTATCTACGATTTTCATCTCTTGCCGAGTCTCCCGGCGTATGTCCACACGGATCTGGCGTTTCACCCGCGCGATCCGCGCTGGCATCAAACGTGTGCGCGTTCTCCGACGGCCATGGAAAACGCCATGAAGTTCAGCATCCGATTCTGTAACCTATCCGACTTCAAGTTGCCATCCATGGACCTTCTGACACTAGTACTAGTAGTAATGCCGATAATGGCACTGACATTTCACAACCCTTTAAGTAGCGTCTTAGATGCCTGTCTTCCTACTAATGATTCAGCGATAGGTCAGGTCGTCCTTGAGTCCCCCTTACCCAAGGTGGTTGCGGGACCTCTTCCCTCTGCTCCTGTCCCGCGGAGCAACCCGCGGAGGAAGCGGCAGAAGAATCCCCCTTCCCTGGAGCTCCGCGGGCCCAAGCGGGTTCCTCTCCCCGCCCGCCTCTCCGCTCCCACGATTCCCGCTCCGTGCTCACTCGCCGGCAGTCCTCCAGGTGCGGCGCAGCGGGCACGCGCGGGGGGAGAGTGATTTTCGAGGGGGGGGTGGTGGAATTCCCGCCCAGGCCGTACGCCTCGGACCAGGAGACGAAAAGCGACGAGATCAGCTGAAACGACGCCTCGCGTCCTTGCGCCAGCGCGAGGAGCGGAGCAGCGGCGTCGCGAGATCGCGAATGAAGTGAAGGAGAAAATAGAACCGCGCCGATGAGGACGAGGTTGAACGAAAGGGCGCGTGAGAAGAATGGGCGAGGCTGACGTGGTTCGACAACGCAGACGCCGTGGCTACGCTTGTGTAGGCGGCTCGAATGCTGTGGGACGCGGCACGAGCCGCGCCGACATAGCATTTTTCCCGGGGAGTGACGGGGCACAAGGCCGTCGCAACAAGCAGTGCTTGGGTTTCAGGCTGGCGGATTACAAGGAGGCAAAGAGAGGAAAATATAACATAACCAGAAACATAACCTGGAGACAGGACGGGTAATGGAGTGTTGGGACCTCAACTTTTTTATCTTGAATGTCACATCTTCGAGAGAATCCGGAAGAGAGAGGCTTCAAACCGACGTCACAAACAAGAAAAGCCCCAAGAGCCTTCAACATCGACCGTTTCCCACAACCGACGTGTCGCACGTGTCCACGTTTACAGTATCATGTATGACGAATGCTCGAACCTGCAGGGGGTTTCATTAACCAATGAAACCGCACGATGTCACGGCAATGCCACCCGTAAAAAGGATTCCGCGAGATAGACCTTCAGGAATGGCACCATGGACAAGAGCAGAGCATGTTTCAGCATTGCTGGAACATGGATTCTCAGCGGATTTTTTTGTGACGGATCCGTTATACTGTGAACGACGACATTTCCTCGCCCGGATCCGTTATACTGTGAACGACGACATTCCTCGCCCGGTAGTGCTACCGGGCGCTACCGGGAACTAGACGACGCTACGTGGGAGCTGTTAGGGCAGGGCAGAAAACAAAAAACCTCTGGAACCTGGAAACATTCTCGATAAACCCAGAACACAGAAATCCGCTTTTTCTTTAGGGTTGATGCCACCGAGTCGCATCACTTCCGATTGGGTTTTTATTCTTGTAGGTCAGGTGGGGTGCAATATTTTTTCCACAGTCGCCGCTGTAGCAACTTGGGGTCTCGCAGCTACAACACAGCAACTCCAGTCAAGCGATTCACAGATGTCGAGACATTGCGGTGGAGTTTACCGCGAAGACGATTTTTTTCCCCTTTGTGATATTGTTTTGCTGATGGTGCAAAACACGCATTCGTGCACAGCGCGGGGATGTCGATCCCGTCATTGGTCTTCCCTTCCCGAAGCGATCGAGCGAGCTCTCGCCAGCTTTCTCTGACGAGTCGCGTCGCGCCCCTAGGTTCCAAACCTGAACAAGTACACGACATATTTGCTGACGTCGATTGCAGTTATGACAGTTACATGAAGATGCATTTGTTGCCAAACCCGAGTGGAGGCCGGTCAAAACAAAACGTATGGCAGAACTGACGAGGCAAGGGCGACATTCGAATTACATTGTCAAACCAAGTCAACGCCTGGGCTTTTGGTTTGGGGTTGGGCAATTTGACGACCCGCGAGGGCCCATGTTAGCAGGGCAATTACCCTGTTCTGACTTAAAGCATTTACTGTTTTTTTCAGCCAACCCTAATTTCCACTCGGTGATTTTTAAACCATCCAATAAAAGTAAAGGGTGATTTTTGAGACAACTCGGATCCTCCTGGATGTTTCCGAAGAGAGCCGTATAGCTTTAGCAACACGTATTCTCCCTGACCTGCTTCGCATTCCCCTCCCTCTCCCCGTGTACTATGTGAGGGCCACTTTTTGTGGAATTTCCGTACGAACTCATTGTTTGGGCTTCATGTGTCTGATTGCCTCGTTCTACGTAGGCATGGCTTATAATTGACTCCACCATAGAGTTTTTTCTAAGTCTCCAAAATTTATCTCTCCCACCCCTCTAGAGCCGCTCCTTCATCCCCAACCTCCCTAGCCCTAGTGCTGCAAGTTTCTCAATCTGACCCACATCCTGCGAAATTCTGGTAATGCAGCTTGTCAGGCCTTTTCTGACTAGAACCCGGATTCCCGAAGGCTTTTTTCCGCTGGCTCGGATTTTACAGGGCCTTTTTCACAGGGGATCGGATCGTCCGAGCTATAAAAAAACCTAGCAATAGCCCTGCACGCGATTCTTTATCCTAAGAGGGTGTCTCATGCAGGGCCAAAATGGGTTAATGGCACCCTGTCTAATCAGAGTTCTGAGATGGAACTACCATGAATCCTAGTGTAAAAATGTTCGTACACTTAACAATACGACGTAAAAAAAAAACACAAAAAAACAAACAAACAAACAAATAAATAAACAAACAAACAAACAAAGGCTGATTATGGCAAGTTTGCCGTTTATACTGATTCTGGTAGGGTTTCGTTAAACATATATTATCGAGTGCATCCAGCAACTACACACAACATTCAACCTATTTATGCAACAACTACAACAACTTATTCACTAATAGGAACCCTTGACTCTACAACTCCTTCAGCACACTAATAGGCACACTTTTCACCCGCTTTGCTGCCGTTGATATCCTTTGTTGAGCGTCTAAGTTTCTCTCCCATGAAGATGGATACAACCTCCTACCAATCGATTTCATACTGCAGCAGTAAACAACGCATCAGATACTCCAGGCTGCTGTCGGAGATGCTGCCACGTCCCCAAGTCCTGATCAGGTTCTGCTTGCTGAATCCTCGCTCACACTCGACGGTGCTCAACGGCAGCACAACGACAGCTTGCCATATCTTCATGATGTTAGGGAACGACTGCTACCAGCCATCGTCACGCAGCAAGTTCGCCAGCGCCTGGTGGAAGTCCTCGTTGTTGTGCTGTGAGAACATGGTTGATGTGAACATCCATAGCTCATTGAGTGCCTTGCTGTAGTCGAGCCCCGTTGTATGGGGTGGGCAACAGAAAGGCTATACTCGCAGCAACAGAGAGGAAAAGGGGGAACTATCCAACAAAACAACAGCAGACACAATCCCGGAGTCTGCAAAGCTGGATAGAATGAAACATTGAAACTTGTCGCGCAGAAGCACATTATAGTACACAAACAAACCTGGAAGCTTGTTGTGGTACAGCTTGTGTAAGTTGCCCCAGCCACTGCTTGAAAGCCACCACTCTCTTAGCATCGTCTGGTATGTAGGAAGCTGTGTGAAGCTTCGTCCTTTCGAGGTTGTCGAGGTCGCACATCCGCCACTCGAGCTCCTTGTCGACTGCACGGACGAACTTCAGAGAGAGCTCGTAACACGCAGTGCATTGCAATCGGTCTCCTGCCCATCGAGTTCCCTCTGGTGCAGGGTGAAGATGAATGAGACAGGATTGCCGTCGTTGTCCACACCTTTTGCCCGCATCTCCCGCTTGTCCATGGAGCATGGTGCTTTATGAACTCCGGCAGGTTCATCTTGTCCCCGCTGCCGAAATGGTGACCAGGGTGCGTGTCGAAGTGCCGAGCTTTCAGGCGCATCCGTGTCTGCTGCACGATGTGCGCCACAAGTGTGATGTCGATATGTGAAGGGACAACAATGGACGTCATAACCGTAACCGTACATACCACTATTGCACTGGCGAATAAAATAAAACCAGCTCAACTACCGTTGCTGGAATCGCTAGTTGAGTTGGTTCAACTCCCACAGCACATCCGCAAGTA